TTTTCTCGTAAAAGTATTGTAATAATTTCAGTAACTACAAAAGAAAAAAAAATCAGAAACCAGTCGATTGATAGTTCCAGTGTAAAAGTACCCAATATCAATCGACTTATAGAAGTTCAAAAATATTATTAACTATAAGAATAATATTCTTAATTCATCCTGCACTCCATACGTGAATTCTAATTTTTATAAATAATATTTAAGAAAATCAAGTTCGGTAGAACTTTATTTGTTTATAGTAAAAGGTCACTTTCTCGATAATCGTTATTCGTTCGTTGTTTTAGATATTCGTCATAGTCGAGTGATGTCAAACTATGTTAGAACACTGATTCAGATAGTGACAGTTAGCGATTTGAATTTATAATTCTCAAGGTGTTATGTTACGTACATTATTTAAAAATTATAATCTAGCCAAAGTTATAATTACATCACTTGTCTCTTAATATATTGAACGATCTGCTTAACCTGTTGACTGGATCATTTCTCGCCCACGAATCCCTGTGCGCATGCAAGTAAAAGGAAATGATAACAATGTGAAGCAATTTAGCCGACAATGAGTTCAATTATTATTTATTATACCGTCAGTCGTAATGTCTTTGACTGGAGTGATATCTGACCTTTCTCTTCGTTAGACAACAAATACTCTTACTACAATCAAATTCGCGCTTATGCTACGAAAACAGACCAGAAATTTGGATTCGTTTGTATTGGGTTGGTTGGAAAATAATTTCGTTCTTCCCGTAAAATTGATTAAACCGTTTTGCAAATAAAAAAGAGGACTTGTCCGAAAATGGAATTTCAAAGCAGCTAGAAAGAAACAAAATGGTCGATATCAATTAATAATTTTAATCGTTGAGTAATATATACTGTGGATAGTAAAAAGCGTCTATCATTTCTCTTTGGCAAAACAAAATTACTTTTTGAACTACCTAATACATCTTCGACGATACTATTCATAAAGAAAAAAGGACGTATTCCGAAAGCCACATCCATCTCTGCCACGTACAAATAAATAGCTTCCGAGAAACCATTATGTATACCGACTCTATGAGAATAATTAACGTTACAAGAAACCCAAGCAACAAGAACAAACCCGAAATCATACACAACATTCGAAAAACTTGATGCACAGAACGGAACTATGATGCTAAGCGGATTATCTTTGCATGGGTCTCATCTCACCAGAGTATAGCAGCCAACGAAAAAGCGGACACAGCTGCCAAAGAAGCAGCATCCGTTCTAAAAAGTGAAATCAAGACACAAATCTCGTACAAAGACCCTCGCCATCGCGCCGCGTGCAGCCAACAATGAAGAGTGAAACAGAATATCTACCACGATAAGGAAAACAAAAACTCACGATATTATGCAGAACTTCTTCCAACTAATGCCAATCCGCGACATAATTGGAAATGAGAAAATAATCATGACAGAACTGACAATACGATCATGACATTGCAAAATAACATACGGACTAACTAAAATAACATATGTACTAAAAGAAACTGAAACTCGTCTTCTCTAACCCATGTAATCAGTGTAATCAAGCTTCGAGAATGATCCGCCCAAATTTTAAACGAGATACATAACTATGTATACAGGCTGCGTCATAAATTAGTCCCCTCGATTTTTCAGCCATCTTCAATTGTCTGACAAAATAATGTTTCGTATGAAAATTAATGTGCATTTAACAAGCAAGAAAATACGACGGTAAAAACATCAAGGTGACTAAGTTTTTGTTAAAGATAAAATCTTTTCTGCTTTCATTTTGAATTGCAATTTCTTGCTGGTTAAACGCAGATTAGTTTTCATCGAAAAGAGTTTTGTTTTTATCGGAAACATACCCTGTATACATACATGTAAAGTATACAGTGGCAGTTTCCGTAAAGTTACCTGATATTTTGGTGAAATCGTGTAACTATTCCATAGCAATGGAAGATTAATAAAATTTCATAGTGATCAAGATTAATAAAAGAAACCATATTTGTTATTATATTTGTAGATATAATATGGATTTATGAAATAGCGTGAATTATTAAAAACGTATTTTACCAACAAGTGCAGGATTTCCATAAAGACACACGTTTTTTAAGTAAATAGCGTCAAGATGAACAATAATTTCTTCTCTATTTCGTAATCGATACTTTCAATTTGTATAATTGCCATTTGGTTAAATAACAAGGAAAATTAACTAATCTAGTAACTAATCTTAGAAAAATAGTTAAACCCTTAGATGAAAATGACGACTCTCGGCGCAATCATATTCTGTGCCAAACTCGAATTTGACGGTTGACGCCCGTCGTATATTTAAATGTTTAAAGACCATTTAAATTTTGTCTGTCTATTAAAAAAGGTTATTATGATATTTACACATTCTCTCATCTTCTCTTCTATTTAGGTTTCAGATGTTATCATTATAGTTACACAATGAATTATTAGAAAATAAACAATATTAAAAAGGAATTGAAGCAGAACAGATTAATAAAGTATAATGCAAATAAAAATATTCTTCATATAATCGAAATTCAGTGTAAATCAAATTTTCGAACTATTTACACTCCTTTTTCATATTGTTTGTTGTCTAATACGTCATTATAAATATTATTATTATATTATACATATTTATTACCCAAGAATCCATTGCAAATAGAATAGTGTTCACATTTATGTAAATACATTAAATAAAAGCAGAAGGATTTTAGTTTTATTTTGTGATGACTCTTCGCACGGAGTTGCGCTAAATTCAGTTACTTACGTACACACACTTTTTACACGAAAGAGTTAATTTGGTTATAGTGGACACAGTCGCCGCTTGCGGATGCGAATGGGTTAAT